GTTGTCGAACAGTTCAAGCGATTTCGTCAATGATGAAACTGACTATACGCTTTCTTCGTTTCCTTTCTCCTCTCGAGTGTCAAAGAGCAACAGTGTTAAAGGTCTTTTCATTTTTAATCATAATATTCAGGATCTTCGTAAGCATATCGATTCTTTACGTTTATTCGTATCTGAACATCAGCATCTTTCCATCCTGTGTATACAAGAAACATGGCTGTCTGACATTGTACCTGATAATGAACTTCAAATTTCTGATTTTTCATTCTATCGATTAGATCGACCAGCTTTTGCTGGAGGCGTAGCAGTGTACATTCGAAACTCTCTCTCTCATTCATTATTAGCAAATGACTGTCAACTCGAAACTCAGCTATTTTCTATCCGTATTTCTGACTCCCTGTTATGCTTAGGTAACTCATACCGTTCTGAAGCTCAAAATCCTAATCCTAATAGCTTCTTTGACAACCTAGAACTGTTTCTCTTTTCTAGTCTTCCTCAAAATTACGATAATCTAATTCTAATTGGAGATTATAATGCAGATCCGACTGATAAAAATGTATTTGATGCTTTATGTGCTTTTTCTGACACTTTCTCTCTTTCGAAAACACAACCAACCGCAACCACATCTCTCGGTTCGTGTTTAGATTACATTCTGTACTCTTCTATTTACAATCAACCTTCTTTATCCGACTATCCATCTATCGGTGAGTCAATCCACTTTTCTTCGTAATGTACTCTTCTATTGTTCTATTTTTACCAGATATTAAAAGAATATAAATACAGAATGTTTATCACAGTTTGAATATTGTAAACGATAGCTCTTGTATAACAATTGCTAATGAATGGACATGCACAGTAACTCCGATTGAGGGCTAGTATAATGTGGTCTTAGACTTCGAAGCTCCGATTGACTCTGATTATAACCCACTGTTTACTATGTTAGTTAGTATTAATAAATGTCAGCACTAGGCTGCAATGGTTACGGTTAACCGTTCGACCGATTATTACGGTTACGGTTAACGGTTAATAACCGTAACCGTTGCATGCCTATTCAGCAGTCATTCTTTCAAATAACTATCTGATTGACTATTCACAATGGTATTCATCACAAATTGAAATGTACAATTTTGCGTCAGACTTCAAAATATACTGGGGGGTCAGACACGATCATTACCGTTGATCTTTGGAGCAATCTCTATGATAGCTAGTATCTTTTCCACAGCCAGCGGTATCTTTACAACATACCAAACACAAAAACTAGCAGCTGATGCGTCGGGTAATACTAGTGCAGCACGCACAAGTGATCAGCACGCAAAGCGCGGTTATATATCGGCTACAGGAAAACGATATACAGGAAGCTAAAGTACTCCAAGACTCAGTACATTTTGATCTTTTACAACTGTCGTCATGGCACTTTCAATCGCTTGAATGTTGTACACGCAGTCTTGGAGTACTTTAGCTTCCTGTATACCGTTTTCCTGGTTTCCAGACTTATTACAGTCTTCTTCGTAACGACTTCTTCATACTTGTTGTTGAAAATGTACTCAAAAGGTTAAGTCAATGATGCATAAAGGTGTTTTATAACGCCAAAAGAAATTCGTTCATGTGTATCTAACTCTTCTGTGTGTTCACACAAAATAGTACACCGTTCTTCATTTTGACACGTCCATACCATAACATTGTAGGCTTCGTTTTGTTACTGCACTATTAGTATAAATGTTGACAGTATAAAAAGAGAAAGTTTGTGGAGAACGAACGAATTGTTCTACTCTTTTTACAGATACTATATTACGTTCTCTCTAAGAAATGACAGAATCACAAATCAATCCTTCTGATGATGTCGTCATTTCTGTAGTTACCAACTATAACGAAAATAGCAGGAACAATGTCGAGAAAGAAGAAGAGTTTACTACAAGTGATGGTTATTTGTCGCACTACACGTCTGTTCGTTATCCTGGCGCGGGCATGATTCGTGATGTTAAAATTCGTCTACCACATTATCTCTCCGACTGGACTCAAGCTGTTTCGTACAGAATATTGGCAGCTACCATCCGAATTTACTTTCTAAACGCCATACCAGCTCTGGCTTACACTATGGATATGTATACTCGAACACATCAAAATTATGGTGTCAATGAAGCGTTACTGTCATCGGCGTTAGGTGGTAAGTACCGAAAAGAAGACTAATGTAGATATGTGTGATAATTCTTTTTGTATATTAGGCATTGTGTTTGGCTTATTTGCTGTTCAACCTATATCGATTGTGGGCTTTACTGGTCTAATTAATCTATTCAATTACACAACGTACGACATTATGATTGAACGACATGTTAACTATCTTCCGTTCATGTGTTGGATCGCTATATGGTCAGCTATTTTTCACTGGCTAATTGCTATTTTTAATATAGTCAGTTACGTTCGATATGTCACCAATTTTACGGCGGAGATATTTGGATTCTATGTGGGGATTGTCTACATACAAAAAGGAATTGAGTTTATTATCAATGAATTTAATGAAACTCCACGAGACGGTTTTATGTCAACGGTTATTGCATGTGGCTTCTTCTTCACCTATTGGACATTGACGCACGTTGGACAATCGAGCTATTTCACTCGTCCTGTTCGAGATTTTCTCGCGGATTATGCCATGATTATTTGTGTTCTGTTTTGGTCTGGATTTGCCTACATACCCGGCAATTTACGATCAACAAATATTCAAAAATTACCCGTTACACGCGCATTCTTCCCCACTCAACAGCAACGTTCGTGGTTCGTGAACCCAAGCGATCTCGACATTAGTAATGTGTTTATCGCTTTGCCTTTCGGATTACTGGTAACGGCTCTCTTTTATTTCGATCATAATATATCCAGTCTCACAGCACAAGCAAAGCATTACCCACTAAAAAAACCAGCCGGATTTCACTGGGATTTTTTTGTCCTTGGATGGACAACGTTGATTGCGCGCTTTCTGGGTTTGCCCTACCCAAATGCCTTAGTACCACAATGTGCTATGCACACCGATGCGCTTGGAAAATGGAAAAAAATGACCGTCGATGACGAACAACACATCCCCACGGCCGCTCCTTCTATTCATAGTTCTCGTCGATCGGCAGAAACACTCATTCTCGTCGAAATAAAAGAACAACGTCTCACGAATACGCTTCAAGGTTTGCTTTGCATTGTTACCATGGCTGGTCCATTTCTCATTTGTTTCGCGCACATTTCACGCGCTGTTCTCGCCGGTGTGTTCATTGGTATCGGCTGGGGGTCGGTTGAGGGCAATTCGATAACAACTCTCGTCCGTCATCTCGTTCGTGATCCAAATCATATGGTGCCAAGTGATCCTCTGCTACAGTTATCTCGTTTAAAAATATTTCATTATGTCTGTTGGATGTTAGCTGGCTTTGCCGTCATATTCGGCATATCTCAAACAACTACAGCTGTTGGATTCCCTGTTCTCGTTTTATTGCTTATTCCATTTCGGGTCACTGTTATGACTCGGTTATTTACAAGGCAAGAGTTAAACATTTTAGACTC